CCCCATCTCGAATTGGTATGACTGTTGTGTTTTAAATCATGCATTGTTTTATGTTGTTTTAAATTCTTGTTTGTACTCCCCTTCCCTGGTTGAGTTGTAAGCTGCCCTGAGTCCCCTTCGGGGGAAAAGGGCGGCATATAAATAAAATAAAACTCAAACTCAAACATTTAATTTTGCAGCATCTAGGATCATTGGACATGTGGGTAAGAAATAGCCAGGGAAATAATTAAAGCCTGGAAAATGTGCCCCTCAGAGGTGGGTTGCTTCTGGTTTGGCCGAATTGGTAGTGAAATTCAGGTCTGGGACCAAGACGGGCAGCAACCCAGGCCTGCTACGCCCCAGAGCCGGGGCATTGAACAGTGCATGCATGCGGGTTGCAAATCAGTAGTAAAATCAGCAGCAACCCATCCCTGGTGCCCCTTGTCAGTTAACAGGAGTGCTGATTTACCACCATCTTAGGACTTAGGACTGAAGGGCTTGGCAGAACAAGGAAACAACAGCCAATCACCAGCTATCAACACACCAATCAGCCAACAGGAAGGCACCACATAAACATAACTCACAGAATAGCCCAAAGCATGTATTCCAATAGAGTGAAGTTCCCTGAGGATGGGCTCCAGCATGAGTTTGAAAGCTCAGGAAAGTAAATCTCTAGTCCCGGTGACCGACCCAGATGCGATCTTTCATCATTATCCTGGGACATTTATATTTGCCTTCATTTGTCAGGTGAATCTCCTTACAATGTCTTTTGACCCATTCAGAAAGGCTAATGTATAGGATCGCTCTCTCAATAGCATTTTGTACATGCTAGAGATTCACAGTGATTATATTTGATTATTGTAAAAAATAACCCCAAAAGTCATCTAAAGAAAAGCACGATGGTACCATTAAAAAAAACTGAAGTGCTGTTGTCAGGTAATGTATCGTCTGTGTGTGTTATTTGAAAAAGAAATACAATAATGAAAGAAAGGAGAATAAAAAAAATAGAGAAATAATCCAATATGTGCCATGATAACTTATTTGTTCTAATTTTAGATGTAGTGCTTGATATCTGTATAAAACTGATATGGAACATTACATATCTCCTCTCTATGAAGGTCTCATATGCACAGGAATTCTGCAGGAAGCATATAATAGTTGGGCAGCACTTGATAAAAAATACGCGTGACCCTCTGGTTTTATGGACATTATCTGGAGATAAAGTGGAATGTCATGGATGGGTAAATATTTTTTACAGACCCGAGATCCTAAAAATGAAGCTATAGCTCAAGTTTGTCCCTCCCTTCCTCCCTCCCTCCCTCCCTCCCTTCCTTCCTTCCTGAAATTTTAGGTCAGTTTTAAACAGCCCAAGGAAAGTTGTCCAATGTTTTCCTTTACAATTATTGCACTCAGTATCACAATTATATTTCACTGATTTAATTCAAAGATTATGTTATTCCCTGGAGCCCATTCGGGAGGGGGGCCTTCAGAGATATTCCAGGTGGGTTTCAGATATGGCATCAACTAAAATCCCAGGGCAGAGGTGGAGATCTAATGATCACCTGGAAATCTCTTGTGGTTTTCAAGGGCATTGTTGCATAGGTCACCAGATGTAAGATTCCGTTCGTTATATTGGGTTGTAGGGATCAGTTGGGATTGTTGTTGTTGTACTAGCTTCTCTTTGTAATTTGACTCCATTGCTAAGTTCAATTTCTCTATGATTAGGGTCTGACGGTGCTTGGGATTTGGTGGGCCTATCCCCGAACATCTACAGCACAATAGTGTAGTGATTAGGGCATGAATTACTATATGAAGGCCCCCCTGATCCATTGATATACAAGACATGCCTCTGCAAAGCCCACTGCTTCTATCTGCTTTGCAATCAGGAGCTGAGAGTCCAAGATGGCCTCCTAGATTGTACAGAAGTTTCACATAAAAGTCAATAATAGAATACCTCCAGATTTCAGAGAAGAAAGGACAAAAAGACAAAACCTGCCCTTCCCATTCCAACCTGTACAGCCTTCAAACACTAGGTTGGACATTACCTGATCAGTCAGGGACTGAAATGTACAACTGGATATCATCTACATATTGGTAATTCTGACCACAATCCCAGCAGTTTCATGTAGGTGTTAAAAAAAGGGAGGAAGAACTCAACTCTGCAGCAACCCCAAGTGAGGGGGCCTGGGTATAATCTCTTCCTACCTGTCATAGGTTTGCCTTGGTAAGGCCATGCTTGGAATACTGTATCCAGTTTTTGGTCTCCACGATGTAAAAAAGATGTGGAGACTCTGGAAAGAGTGCAGAAAAGAGCAACAAAGATAATTAGGGGACTGGAGACTAAAACATGTGAAGAACAGTTGCTGGAACTGGGTATGTCTAGTTTAATGAAAAGAAGGACTAAGAGAGACATGATAGTAGTGTTCCAATATCTCAAGGGTTGCCACAAAGAAGAGGGAGTAAAACTATTCTCCAAGGCACCTGAGGGTAGAACAAGAAGCAATAGGTGGAAACTGATCAAGGAGAGAAGCAACTTACTCACAGTTAGAACAATTAGTGGAACAACTTGCCTCTAGAAGTTGTGAATGCTCCAACACTGGAAATTTTTAAGAAGAAATTGGATAAACATTTGTCTGAAGTGGTGTAGGATTTCCTGCCTAGGAAGGGGGTTGGAATAGAAGACCTCCAAGGTCCCTTCCAACTCTGTTATTCTATTCTATAACTGATTGAAACCAGGCACAGAGAAAGGAGGAGAACCAGCATAAAATAGTGCCTGCCATCTCCAATGTAGCTAGTCCAAAAAGTTATTATGGTTGACAGTATGCAAAGCTGCTGAGAGATCAAGTAGCACAAAATTGGGTGCACTATGCTTGCCCCTCTTCCACCATCTGATGAATGCCATCCCCAACCTAAACCCTGGTCTAAAGCCCAACTGCACTCTACTTTTCAAGAACAATAACTGCATTTACAAGTATTAACAATTGCAATAAAATGTTAAAGCAATAATAAAACTTAATTGTAGAGAAATATTTATCATAGAAAAACCTTGTATTGCTCTCCAGACGAGGCCAGCTGAGTACATTTACTCAGATTCTCCAAGCAACGTCTATTCCATCACTAACTTCAATTTGCCAGCAGCTAATGGTGTTATACATATTGTTAACCCTATAAGGAAAATGGACACCACGGATAACTCTGATAATGCTCAGGTATGATGAATATTCTTTTTCCTTATGAAAACAGGTAGTCATAGGTAGTGTATAGGGATAATTCCTTAAACAAAATAGCTTTTAAGAATTGTGCTTCTACAATTAGAAGCACAATTGTACTTCTAACCTAGAATCAATCTAAAACAGATGTTTCCAACTCACATGTGGTCTGGATAGCTAGTAATACGCCCCACAAGATATAATAAAAATATTTGGGGGGGGAAGAAAATTTAATAATGCGTATTAATTATATGTTATATATGGCCCCAAGAACAATTTCTCTACACTCAACATGATCCACGCAAGGCAAAATTTGGACACCCATGATATAAAGCCTTTCTACTACACTTTTTCATAGCATTAGACACTATAAAGTTTGACACTATAAAGTTCCACACAACCCCTACTGCTTAATAGTAGGGTATACTAGGAAGCAAATATCACTTACAATTTTATTTCCTCCAGTTTTCCCAAACTAATAATTGGTCTTAGGAAGATTTGGAATGTTGAGATAATATGATGGGTACACTCATAAAATGTTAGCCATACCACAATGTTCTCTTCCATCTTCCTGAGGCCAAAAGGCACTAAATATAGCATTCAAAGTTGTTACTTTGTGGTGCAGCATACAATATCCTAAATAATTTTATAATTGAAATAAACTCCATAAAAACTTTCTGGATACCGTGGAAGCTATCTGGGAACTACCACTTATTTTCTATATTTACTTATCCATCACTCAAAATGACAAGATTTTTCTTAACTCACTCTACTGGGAAGTTTTTAAAAATGCTAGAAAAAAATAATAGCAAATCACTTTGCGTTGTTGCTAAGAATAGCAATAGCAGTAGACTTATATACCGCTTCATAGGCCTTTCAGGCCTCTCTAAGCGGTTTACAGAGAGTCAGCATATTGCCCCCAACAATCTGGGTCCTCATTTTACCCACCTCGGAAGGATGGAAGGCTGAGTCAACCCTGAGCCGGTGAGATTTGAACCGCTGAACTGCTGATCTAGCAGTAGCCTGCAGTGCTGCATTTAACCACTGCGCCACCTTGGCTCTTATGGAGAAGCCCTCATGGACATGTCTCCATAGTTACCAAGAACCAACTCTGATTCAATATGTCTTTACATCTCTTTTAACTCACCTTTAAAAAAACAAAAACCCTGGGCATGCAGAGATAGAGCAATCTTATATTACTTTTTGCTCGATCAATTCCTCTAAGGATTTCCAGAAAATTATTATGAAGCCTAAATGTACAATATTTGCAGATAACAATCAGTTGTTTTTGCATCAGTTGTTTTTAATTACTCTATCTTTCTACAAGTCATTGGCAAAACAGGAAATTGAATACATACAAAAAGCTTTAAAGCACCATGTTTATTTTACCTCCTCGGTTTCTGGTGGATTTTTCTCCTGTGGTGAACTAAGATTCAGATCCTCTGTGTTGGTTCATATCTTGAAAGCCATCCAAATTTAGGATATTCAGAATTCAGGATGCAAATGCTTCACATACATAGCAATAACACTTAGACTTCTATACCACTTTACAGTGCTTTATAGCCCTCTCTAAGCGATTTACAGAGTCAGCATATTGTTCCCAACAATCTGGGTCCTCATTTTACCCACCTTGGAAGGATGGAAGACTGAGTCAACCTTGAGCATGGTGAGATTTGAACTGCCAGTCTGCCAGCAGTCAGCAGAAGTAGCTTGCAGTACTGCACTTTAACCACTGTGCCACCGTGCTCATAGGTATACATAGATAGACATGTATATTTAGTAACTTAGATTATGCTATCATCGCAGTTGCTAAGGAGGAAGTTCTACTGAACTCAATGGGAAGGAAAACATTGGGAGTACAACTCAGAGGTTTTCTGTACATTAGTTATGGCACAGAGTAGAAAGAGGAGAAAAATGTGTCATTATTTGTTTGCGCTTATATATTTCATAACTAAGCTCTTTCAAACTGAAATGTGTTTCTGTGTATGCCACCACTTCTCATTCTAATCCGTCTGTTTTTGCAGAAAACAATTGCAGAAATTCTTGCTTCCATGGAGATTGCCAGCCGGTTTGAAACTATGTTAGAAGTGAGTATCTCTCCTATATTCAGGAGGGAATAAAATGAATGCTGATACTGCAGCTTTTTTTTTATCAGAAAAAAATGCTGGTTTTGCTTTTTAAACATTTAATATTTTCACGATCCACGATTGGATACCAAACCAGGGTTCCCTTTTAAGAGATCAAACAGAAGATTAAATATAATAGATTATAAAGATCATTAAAATATTAGTAAAACTCATGAAGAATTGATTCATTTCCGTAATATTGCTTTGGGGCAGTAAGAAATTCATCCTTTCCTCACACAAGAAGCAGGATCAGGATTTCCTTCCTTCAAATGTTCCTCCCATCCATTGTCTATATGCAAAACTTTACTCAGAAACATCTGAGTGTCATTTTCTTTGCACCAAATCTTGTTCAAATCAGTTAATCCTTAGTCAGCTATAGAAAGCATTTGACTATTTCAATAGGACTGTAGTTTGGAACTTTGAATTGGAACTTTGTCAGGAATGCTGAGAATTAATTGATTCGAATGATTTAGCTGCTTAGCATAATTCACCCCCAGAAATGTTGATTTTGCTAATTAATCATTTCACACTGAAGTTATCTAATGATCATGGTGCTTAATATTTTGCAGAATTGTGGTCTTCCATCAATTTTGGATGGCCCTGGACCTTTTACTGTGTTTGTCCCAAGTAATGAAGCAGTGGATAAATTAAGAGATGGAAGGCTAATTTATCTCTTCACAGAGGTGGGACTATTTTGGCTATTTTTTAGTCTGAGGATTAAAAGGATATGAGTTTTCATTCTGAACACACTCATAGATTGTTCATTTAGCCAATTGTTTTATCTTCCCAATATGGGAAACATTGGTAAATTAGGACAGCTGTAAGAATTGATTCTGTATGCCTTTTTAAAGGCAACTTTCTATAAAATGTCTAACTTATAGCTTGTTCAAGAAGCCATTATTGTAAATACGGGTTTTATTTTGTCCTGTATCTGTTGTTCTGCAGAATGTTTTTGTTTGTTACAGAATTTAAATATTCTAATGGGAAATATCTAATGGAGGTTTTGTATAGAGAGATAGATTTTAATGTTACTAAATCTTCTATATGCATTTAGCATATGCTTATTGTATACACATATGAACAACATAAATGCACATGCACAGAGAGGTGGGAATTGCTACATTGGAGAATGATTATGCCTATTGGCCATTTTAATCCAAAGTTTTGCTAAAGCTAATTGCAACTTCCAAAGGAAACTTCTCTAGTTTGAGAGTAACACAGGAAGTAGCATCTCCCATATGCTGAAGAGAAGTATGAGTATCTTCACAAGAGAGCTTCTTGTGCCAATCTTAATACAGGGATAGGTTTCAGATGTAGTCCATCAAATGACTCAGCCCTAAGCTATTTAGAATTTTGGGAGTTACACTCAATAGCTCAGATAGTGACTGGAAATTGGTACTTGTTTGTGTCACTGGGTCTGAGGTTCTGAAAATGGGCTGAGTCTGCGTGTGTGTTATGTTATTTTGGGGCTGATAGGTCTGTTTTTACCTTGGCTGCTGTTTTATTGTGTGGTTTTTGTTTTTCTCTTTTTTATATGTGTGTGTGTGTGTGTGTGTGTGTGTGTGTGTGTGTGTGTATTTTATTTGTGCTGATAAATAAATAAATAAAGGGAGACTAGTATAG